GATAATAGATTTCCGACGAAATGCTACTGAACACAGAACAATTTCCATTCATGGGGAAGATGTGGAGCAAGTACAAGAATATAAGTATTTGGGTACAACCATAAGCAATTCACTAGACTGGTCAAAAAACGTTCAACTAATTCAAAAGAAGGCAAATCAGAGGCTATACTTTGTAAGGACCTTAAGAAAGTTAAGGGTAGACAATACACTAATTGTTTTTTCTACAAGTCCCTAATCTAGAGTGTTCTGACGTACAACCTAGTCTGCTACTTTGCTAATGCAACAAAAATTGACCAGAAGAAGCTCAATAAACCCAGGAAAATAGTTCAACGTATACTAGGGATAGACTTGCCACTACTTGATAATCTGTACCAAGAGAGAGTTTCATCTAAATTAAGACAGGTTATGCAGGACCCCACCCACCCACTCAACGAGAACTTTAAATTTAACCGTTCAGGCATACGTTTGTGCGCACCGCGCACATAGAAAACCCGTTTCAGGCAATCTTTTGTTCCCAACGCCATTCACCACTTTAATGCACAAGCCCGGAGGTCTGGAACTCAAACGTAAATACTGGTCTCAACTTATACTTTTTTTCTGAATTTAATTTTCGCTAGGGCTCATAATATTAAACTCACCTATATCCTCAAATAAACAGCTAGCTTAATGTTCGAATTTTTCACCAGGAATGCCATGTTTATGTTATACTGCAATCATGTATTCGTTTTGTTCCGTTTTCCATTGCAACAATTATTTTCAGAATGTAACTACGTTTGTAACGATGTTCATTTGATAATTATTGTATTATGTATTGTTCTTGTATTATGTATATATGTACAAAGACTGTAAACCAGTGAAAAAAAGAATTTCCCGAAAGGGACAATAAATTTTCAATTCAATTCAATTCAATTTGTATGTTATGTCTCGTATCGATTATGGAAATGCTTTATTGTTCAAGGCCTCCTCTTATCAACTTGCCAAATGCTACGTGCTCAAAATTCTGCTGCTCGGGTCCTCAGTAGAACATCTCGCTTTCCCCACATTACCCCAGTTCTGAAAAGTCTACACTGGCTGCCAGTATCCAAACAAATAGAGTTAAAAAATCTTACTCCACACATGGAAAGTAATGTATAGTCAGGCTCCACAGTACTTGGGAAATCTCATCACAGAATATGTCCCAGGTAGAAATCTGCGTTCTTCTGGTACTAAACAGTTAACATCTCTTTGGAATGCTCTTCCACTGAGGATCCGATCACTAGAATCCCTAGAACATTTAAAAAGAATCTAAAGTCATATATGTTCGCATGTTATTTTAGTTAATTATATGTTGAATGTACATCTATGCATTTCCCCCTTCTCATTTCTCTTTTTATCTCGTTCTAATTCTATCCCTCTGTGCCTCAGAATAGTTTACTAGATCGATGGCGTATAATAAATGCTGTATTATTATTAAAACAGACAACATCCCTTAACTAATCAACATATATCCAGTTAAATGAGTTTGATTGATTTCAAACATGAACATATTTCATACCATTTTACAAGGGGAAGTGATGCTGATAATAATAATTGTTTACTTGGAACCAATCAGGGCAAGGACAAATGATCTTTTTTATCAAAATGAACCATGTCTAAAATTTTGAGTGAGGTAACAGATCAAACAATTTAAGTGACACTGGTAGAGTGAGAAAAATATGGAAGAGGAGTCAATGAAACAGGCATTGAAAATGTGTGCATTGTTATGTGACATCATCTGCTTATGCAAATTCGATCCATTAAATGAGGTCACAAATCTCAGCAGTGTTCGGAGAGCTCTTCAAGTGTGAAACTGGGGAGGTAATTTACCATTTTAAAGTTGATAATAATCATTACTTTGAAGTTTGAATATTTTCAAGTAAGTGATTCTAATAAACTTGTTCGATCTAACCTTCCCTCATGCAATGATACAAATCGAATCAATATTCAAAATCAATGAACCACTATTATATGTTTCATATAAACAAACCAATGCTATTATTTATCACTAGCCTACATAGTTGTGTGCAAACTGAAACAGCATAATTAATAGCAGATTACATTCCTTTTAAAGCTAGTTTCAATTTTAATTATTATTATATTTTGTACTGCATTATCGATAACAGCAATTTAACTTTAAATCTTTCAAGCCATCTGAGAAATATAAAGAACAAATTATTATTCAATATCAATTTTAAATTCATACTGAACTTTAACAGGAATGTGGCTTTGTTGTGTATTCCATGATTATTTATTTTTTTCTTCATAAATTCAAACCACTGTCGTAGACTGCAATATTTTTGTAAGATACCATCAAAAACATTTCTTGTCATTACTTCATCTACAATATTATTGTTTGTAATTGTGAACATATGACATAACTACCGCCTTCTCTTCCTTCCTTCCTTTCTTCAAATTAGTTACATTTTAACTCCTGCTTAAATTGCAGCATAGTATTATCCAGGCTTGACAAAAATGTGCTTAAAAAAAAAGAGGTTAAAAAAAGCAGTCGATTTAAATTTTCTCCATTTGTTTCTGTTCCATCATCTTTTTTTTTTCTTTTTTTGTTGAAGATTGTGCTTTGCTTAATGCAACCTTCAGCTTATTTTAGAACAAAGAATAATGCTCAGTAAGTTAACTTGACTACAGGTTTGCGATTTTCTTTGCGACCTTCTTAATGGTTTTTGGTGTACTTCACCTGGAGCATCTGTGTTTTTGGATGGGGATTTTCTTGCTCCCTCATCAGTCTGATTGGAGTGTTCAGTTTGGGGTATGAACATCTCTGGTGCTGAAACTAAATCAAAATTATCAAAAATTCTGCTACTAACAGATTCATGCAAACTCTGTATGTCACCTTTGGCTCAAGCACGTACATTTCTGACTCGGTCTTTAATGTCTACCAAGTACCTTCTTTGTGCCAAAAACTGCTACAACAGTCCCTACTTCCCATTTGTTTTTCTTGCATGTCTTGTATGGGGGACTGCCGACTGAGAACACAAAATATGTTACCAATGTCAAATTTGCATCGTTTATAACTATCACCAAATTGTTTCTTTTGACTTGCCTGCTTGTTTTCAACTTTTGATGACATATCTGGCAAAACCAAACTCAACCTTGTCTTGACCTTTTTTTTCATCAAAAGTTCTGCTGGAGTATACCCAGTTGTTGAATGTGGTGTGGTATGATACTTTAATAATAAGTTTGCCAACCTCTGCTTCATACTGACCTTTTAAGACTGGCATTTTGAGAGTTTCTTCGGCAATCCTGACAGATCTTTCAGCAGTACCATTTGATGATGCGTGGTATATAGACACCAATATGTGTTTGACATAATTTTGTTTCATAAGCTCTTGGAAGGTTGCGGCCCTTAAGTGCGGACTATGCTCTCAACTCGCATGGTCCTTTGGGTTGTTGTGCAATAAAAACAAGGAAATTGTCATTCCCAAATTCACAAACATCAACATTACTCTTTGGAATGGCCTTGAGGGCCAATGCCATGCTCCCAGTGGGGCTTTTGGAGGTCAACTTCTTAGACTTTTTCTTTACAAACCATGAATCCCATAGCAACAACTTTCATGGCTACCACCCCCAATGCTCTGAATGTAGCACACCAAGTAGTTTTTGTCTCAGTGATTTTGGAACTACAATTCTATGCCCCTATTTGAGACACCCTTGATCACATGATAACTGTAACCTTTTGAATTAGTAACAAAAACACATGGAAGTATAGATGAGTTACTGAACTATATTCACAACTAATGCAGGTCCAGACTCTCAGGTTTTTTCATGTCCAGTGTCCCACCCCAGCCTCATCACATCACTTAGCAGAAGCACTGTGTTCTATGCCAAACCTGACTGACCTGACACTTGAAATGAATCGCAATGATGAGTTCTACTGTTACTCAACACTGAAAGCAAAGGCATTATCCACGCAGGTATGTGTGTCCTAATGTAAATGTCAATTAGAGGGTCATTGATATATAGAAAGAGCAGTAATGATCATAGGGTGCACATGTATACATGTTTTTTCCTCCTTTCAAACACCATTGTTCAAAGGCCATTCACTTGGTATATCTTTCAAGAAACGTGAAATAAAAGCAAACTACACATGGACTGATTCAGTTGAAATTCAAGTATGTATAAGATTGACATTGTTTTGATCAATAATCAATATCTTACCTTTTCCAAGTTCGATTGATAGCAAAAATATTTCATACAGTTTTTTAAAGCCAATTTTAATAAAGGCTTGAATTAACCAAACTGAACCATAGCATAAAACCTCATGACTTAGGGGCCTTGTGCACATGAAATCCAGGGTTATGAATAAATAAATTAATTTTTAAAACCAAATGTATATTGTAAAAATCAGTATACCTGTGGATTCGAGCATAGTGATTAGCAAAAACAATTGATGAGCAGCAGGCCCATTTGATGATTTCAATAAAAATGTACCCAGTAATTACTCTTCAAGTATCACTATTTCTGTGGCATTACTTGGAACTACCTGTATCCAAAACGACTACCTGCTTATGGTAATTTTCAGTTGTGTTTTCTTAGGTTTGAATGATACCTTGGTACAATTAGGACATTTTTTTTAATTTTTTTTTTTTTTTTTTATTATTATTTTTTTTTTTTTTATTTATTTATTTATTTTTTTTTTTTTTTTATTTTTATTTTATTTTCATTTTTTTTTTTTTTTTTTTTTTTGGGGGGGGGGGGCATGCATTACAGCTAATGCAGTGTACTGCAAGTTCGTTCCGTGACTAGTCCAAACTTGCCTTGCAACGGCAATAAGTAATAAAACTTGTTATAATTGCAAAGTAAATATCAGATTTTCAAAGAAGCATGCAGTGTTTAAACAAATTTAATTAGATGTAGCTCTTGAGTGTATATTCCCAAGAAAAATTGATTAAATGCCAGAATGAAATAGATCCACTTGTAACTGAAACAAGGTTTACCAGCAATGTTGCTTTTATATGTTACAGGGTTGTTTTCCTCAGATCAGGAAGGGAAACTTCAGGTTCAATGGAGTTGCTCAAGATGACTTGAACTCATTTCTTCACACCCTCATATGTTCGCAAAGGTCAGTATATGTGCTTAAAATAAATTTAATTTATTCAGATAAAAGCATGTAGACTTTCCATGAACAGTGCGATATAGAAACAATATAAAGAGCCTTTAATGGGATACTAAGAAAAGCTACAATGTTGATACCCCTGCTGGGAGCATGCAATATTGTGATACTGTTTAACTTTAACAAAAAATTTAAGTTTACTTGTCTGACAGAACTAAATATTCAGTAACAGCTTTATTGAACAAATTTCCTACTGTAAAGTGGAATCAATCAACTTAAAATTTGTTAAATTTTGGTGTTCTTTTTTTTTGGGGGGGGGGGGGACTGTAGTCTGTTCTATTTCTGTTTTCTTCTTCTTCAATGACAGATCAAAATGGTTATTGAGACTAGTACTTTCAATAAGACCAAAAGTAGTTGATTACTTATTTCTCTTCTTGCAAACAGATGGTAAGAAATAGTCTGTTTCCTTTTTAGCTCAGCCAACTTAGCCAAATTAAACGTTACAGTTACAGTCCTTATCAACCTTATTTTAGGTCACCTCGCCAACCATTAATTGGCAGTAACCATGGAAACACACACAACACAGGAAATGTCTCAGAGCAATCAAGAGCAATTTACCAAGAAACCATAGCAAGCGCTAGTCCTGGGAACCCGGTACGTGCCAACATCAGTGGTACCCCAGACACACTACCAAGGGGGTTAGGTGCTAATATTTCAATCTTGCAAGAGCCTCAGGACAATGTCATTGTTAGGCAACCTTTACAAGAGCCACATACATTGACGACTCAGACTGGTTTTTGGCCAGACTATTTGGAAAATGATATGCCTTCCAATCTCTAATCAGGCATGTTTGCTGTGTACCACACCCTGCTCTATCCATTATCCAAGAAGGACATTGCCACCACCAGATCACCATCAACAGCAACCCATGGTTAATGTACACTATGATCTATCTAAGAAGGACATTACCACCATCAGACCACCCTCAACTACCACCAATGAATAATGTACACTCTCCAAGAAGGGCATTACTACCATTTTTTTCTCTGAAGTTACAAAAATGGATTTAGCCTCTTTTCAATTCAATTCAGTTTATTCAATTCCAATAAAATAAACAAAACAGAATACAATCATGACAGAATAAGAGTATAAATCGATCAAGAGTATAAAATAAGCTAAAATGATAAAACAATAAAGCGATACATTAGATAACAACATAAGATATCGCAAAATTGGAATTGGATGACCATGAAAAACCATGAGGATTTGTCGAGACAACCACCCTTGATGAAGGTAAAATCAGTTTCATTGAACATACAATATAATATTGGCAATTTAAAAGATAATAAAGTACTATAAAGGAATAAACAATTACGAAAATATGACATATTTTATTTAAAAAATACGCATTACCGCACAAAACCACAACAGGACAATACAAGGCAGTAAAATCAACAATTCAAAATTTCAGACACTTGTGATTGAGTACAATTTGAAATTGAACTCTTCAAATGTATAATCAAGTACAATCTAAATTAACTTGTGAATTTGTTACCAGAAATGACCCAGATGTTAAGAGCCATATCATGTTAGTAGACTTGATAGAACTCAATATGAAGGTTGAGAACTAGCTTTGTCTGGTAAGGGTGTATGTCATAGGCCTGACTTATCAGTGTAAAATTTTATCTGACATGGATTGTTGTTAATAAATTTAGAGCTACATCCAGTTCTAGATACAGTGTATTATATCCATCTGAGATAATATTTTCCAGGATTTTCTTCACATCATTCCAGTGTATTTGTAAATATGCTTCTGTAATTTTAAAATACATGTCTCTTTTGACAATGTAACATGCCTAAGTTATCAGTGTGATGTTGAATTTGAAATGATTGACTGTTTATACATGTTTAACTACACGCTCCAGTACTACGGAAATATTTTCCAGGATTTTCTTGACATAATTCCAGTGTACATGTATATATGTTAGTGACTATAATTATACGATACATGTTTATTCTAATTGTATTCATTACTGGATTTCAATAATTGTGATGATACCAGGTTTTTCTTTGCATCATTATGATTATGATTATGCAATGGTGTCATACATGTATATTTTGAACCTGTATATGTTAATTTCCATACTTGCCTTGTCAATACGTTTTAATATTTTAGTAAGTTTGCATTTCTGATTGGCTTATAAGATACAAACGTAGGTATACTCTTATGAGCATTCCGTTATCTTGCCTTTTGATCACCATCCTCTTCTGATTAAGTGATGTCATTTTTGTAATCCACTCTGATTTTCATAAAAGACAATGTAAATTGCTCAGATCTGTGAATTTATTCTGAATTATGTCATTCAAAGATCGATGTACTTAACAGGTCTTTCTATGTTTATTGGATGATCATGAATTACTGAAATGAAGTTTGCAGTGCCTTTAGATATTTCAACACTTTGATGTACAAAGGAGTTGTTGTTTGATGACGGTGTATTTGTTAGTGAGTATCCTTTTAGCTGAAATGGTCTCATGTGACACTCCGATATTTTGCATGATATAACGCGTGCAAAAGCGATTTAGACTCTTCTTTACGCGTACCCATTGTTTACATTGTCTCAGTTGCGCGCATCTGATGCGAAGACAGCCTATTAGTAATCGAGAGGGCATAACTCCGAAGATTCGCAAATACTCACAATTTCATGTAACAAATATTGCATGCATTTTATCATTCATTATAACATGTATTCACCTCCAAATTCGAAATTCCCCTAGTGCCGTTTTATTTCATTCTCATCCTATTGCCTCAGTGAAACATAAGATCACGCAGGAAATTATGATATTTGTTTTTGGTTCATATATACATACTTGTATACGTATATATATATATATATATTGGTAAACTATGCAAATGTGATTACTTAATGAAGATGTAATCATATTATAATTAGATATACATCTTTGTTTATTTTTGTCTATAAATTCAACCTAATCTGCTGCTATGCAAATGCTACTAATGCTATCAGGAATCTGTTAGAACGTCCAAGAAAGGTAGCAAAACGCATCATAGCAGTCGATTTACCATCAATCGAAGATCTATACCAGAATAATGTTCTCTCTGAAGTGAAACAGATAATGCAGGACTCCTCGCATCCACTCAGTGAAAACTTTATCTTTAAAGGTAAAGTCCAGTTTTCGAAACGCCCCCTCTCAAAAAATGAAATGGAAGCTCTTATTACCAATCATGTGAACAAAATATGTTATGACTAATACGTGATGATACAAGTTTTGCAGATAAACTGCCTACTAATTGATATATTTGGTAAATTATTATATCTATTTGGACCTGATAGATATAATGCACGTGTGCTTACAAGGTCCCATATACATCTTTTTGTGTACAGTGCTTGTAACTTAACCAAGACTGGGCCAAATTTCTTATCATTTTAATAATTCCAGAACCTTTCAGTACACACCAATACTTATATGCTAGATGATCAACCTTTTCTGATGGATTCCGCAACGTTTCTTTCACAATGCAATTGCATGACCATAACTGATCTTTAACCCTATTTAGCCCGAGGGGGGGGGGGGGGCTTTAGAAGCCCCCCCCCCCCTCGACATTTTTCGCGATAATTTTTTAACGGAAACAAATTTTGCACTGACATTTTTTTGACTTTTTTCTTTCGAGTCTTGCGCATCTTTTGATTTTTTTTTTTCGAAAATCGGACCTACATTACAAAGTCACGTGTCCTTTTGTCTTTGCATGTCAGCCCGAAAATCACTAATTTTTGTGATTTGTGTACAAAACATATGGAAATCTCATTTTTCAAATAAAGAGATAAAACATTGGTTATTTGGTCTTGTTTATAGTTTAGGTGTTTATTTTGGGGTCACAATAGTTCAATTATAGTTGGAAATGAAATAAAACAACAAAAACAATAAAATACATAGGTTAAAAAAACAATTAAAAATACATAAAAAATTATCAAAACAATCGATAACATAAGTAATAACCCTGGTTTTTCAATTTTTGTGTTTTATTATTATTCCAAATGGTCTAACAAATATATGTAGTGAGAAAGAATGCTTAAAAATGAATAATGTCTGATTTATGGGCAAAAATGTGAATTTTATGACCTTATTTGCATAAATTACCATAAATATGCAAATAGAAGCCCCCCCCCCCCCCCCCCCGGGCTATGCAGTTTCAAAATAGCCCGGGCTAAATAGGGTTAACAGATCAGAAATACACATGTGTACACCATGGGCGGCATGGGAAGGAGCTAAACAGGGGGCCCAATTTGTGAGAAAATGTTTAGCGGCGAATCAGCCAGCCGGCGAATAAGCAGGGGGGGGGGGGGTGGGAGGGGGTAGTGGGCACTTTTTAAAATAAATCAACAATTACATTGCCGGTACATAGATTTCATACATGTCTCTTAATTATCAATAATCACTTAAGCCACAACAGTACTGGATTGTCTAAACACGATATGATCTAGTCATACTTTATCGATACCACTAATTTGATAAATGATATTGCATAATTAGTAATAACATGTAGTGAGTAAGTAACTACTGTAAATAATATAATAATGAAAATCATACTGGCAAGCTGATTTTGTTGATAACCTTTCCGATGGAAGTGATTGTATAAAGTATGATGATATAACTCGAGTACTTTGTGTGTTATGTATGTATTTTGCCTCATTATGTGTAGTTTGTATTGTATTACTTGTATCAACCAGTGAAAATAAAATTTCCTGATATGAACAATAAATAATATACTCGTACTTATACGTAATATGTCATAAGAAGTCATGATAAACAAGGAAGATTTAAATATATCTTCTGTATCTCTGTTCTCTTCGTCTGATGTGAAATCTAGAAGAGACATGTAATGACGATGAGAGGGGGAGAGAGAGAAGGGGAGTGGGCTAATGAGGGTAAGAGAGGAAGGGGGAAAGAGAGAGAGAGATGAGTTTCAAAAGGCAGTGGGCAAGAAAAACATAAATATAAAGGAGCAGAAAAGGGAGATGCTAAGAAAAACGTACGAGAATTTAAAAAGATGTGTGAGAGAAAAATCAAGAAAAGGGGAATTAAACGGAAAATAATAGCTAGTGACAGTATGGGAAAAGGTGATGGCTAGATGACTTTGGAGGGAGACTGAGTGAGAAGAAAGAGAAATAGTGAGAGGGGAGCACAAAGGAGATGGGGCGGGATGAGAGAGAGACTAATGTTGATGAAGAGAGATACGAAGAATTTGGGTGATGAAGGGAAAGGAGTGGGGGGGGGGGCAAATAGAGAGAGATACCTGCAGTGAGTGATAATTGGGAAGGAGGTTGAGGTGGGGTTTGAGAGAGAACGAGCAGGAAAAACGGTAAGAGGGTTATAAAAAGAGATAAGAACATTAAGGATTGTAGAGAGACCGAGAAGAAAGGGGAGTAAAGGGATTCAGTGAGAGGAGCAGAAAAAAGGGAGATATCCCGGGACGCGTCATTTTTTTCTGCGGCACAGATTGGGGCTTTTTTTTTTTTTTAAAGAGGTCTTGATTTAACCCTGGCCTAACTTTCCCGAAGGCTCAACACGCACCTAATCCCAATCTGTGCCGCAGAAAAAAATAACGCTCCCGGGACAAAAATATGGAGGAATGGGACATGAACTAGAAAGAGAGAAGGAGCCACATACCGGGACAGAAACAAACGGAATGGTGGTGAATGAGAGAGCGAGGGAGGGAGAGGGGTTAGAGTGAAAGATAGTGAAAGAGAAAGGAAGAGAGAAAACATTTAAACAAAACAAAGGAGCAATCAGTGGCATTATTTAATAAACGAGCGTTATAGTTTTTCTTTCATATTTAACCCTCAAACAAACTTAAGCCCGAATTAAATGTGAATTCGGGCCATTGTGTTTAACAATCGATGTTAGAACCTTTAAAGGGATTTGGTAACTTGGTCTCGGATTCTGAAACAAAATCCTGGATTTAGTTCATGCTGCAATGATAATGTAATGGGCCCGTAAATG